AATTGATTACAATTATGATTTATATATATATATATATATATATATATATATAAAATGTTAATTTATGATGTATTATATTACAGTTTAATATATTATTTAATAAATAACTACGACAGCTATAAATTCACAATACAGTATTTATTTAGTTATTATATATAAAAAAAAAGTCCAGGTGAAGTTGAAATAAAAGATGAAATCCCATATTGATTACTGACATGTAATACTAATTTCTAAAACAGCATGAAAGATAAATGACTGTTCACTAAAATACTCCTAAAATCTCTTCATGGGTAATGAATGAATAGAGTGAACTGAAGTGGATTTTAGCTGAATTCAGCCTCCAGTGCTTGTGTTTGAGTGTGTGTAGATCTTAACAGACCACTAGAGGACGTGTCTCAGCATCATCATGTCGTCTGTAATGAAGCACACGCTGCCTTTCTGATTCTTGAACTGAGCCTCAACAGAGACAAACCTTCTCTAATGCTGTTCATGATGGGATCCCCTCTCTCTGAGGACACTTTTGCAACAGCCTTGAACACACATCATGTTGAACTGTTGAATCTCTGAGCGCTCGTGTGTGAACGTATGAAAATCTGCAGCATTAGATTCAACATAAAGCAGATCAAAGGGTGTCATTCCTCTCATTCTGGACACAGCTGCTGTCTGTCTCTGAGCTGCACTGACTGTAAACACCTGAGGAACAAACTGAAGATCTTACAGATCACGCCATGTCATGAAACTCAAAATCTGTCAAGACTGACTCTCTTTATGTTTAGTGTCCCGAAGCCTCCAGTCATAAATATACAGCACTGCTCAAAAGTGCGGGTCTGTAAGATGTTTTGTTTTCAAAAGAAGTCTGTTATGGTCCACAAGGCTGCATTTATTTGATCAAAAATACAGTAAAAATTGTGAAAATATTTTTATAATTTAAAATAGCAGTTTTCTATGTGAATATGTGTTAAACTGTAATTTATTTCTGTGATGTGCAGCTGTATTTTCAGCATCATTACTCCAGTCTTCAGTGTCACATGATCTTCAGAAATCATTCTAATATGCTGATTATTAGAAACATTTATGATTATTATCAATGGTGAAAACGGTCATGCTGCACAATATTTTTGTGGAAACTGTGATGCATTTTATTTTTCAGGATTCACAGATGAACAGAAAGTTCAAAAGAACAGCATTGATTTGATGTAATTACTTTTGATCATTTAATGTGTCCTTGCTGAATAAAAATATATTTTCATTTCTTTCAAAAATAAAAATAACAATA